TTCTGGGTGCGTACCACAGTCTAGGTACATCTAGCAGGAGGCAATACTAAAGAACACGACAAGTAGGGGTATTGCGATCGACGAATTGTAGTGGTTTTGAGAACAACGCGGGTCTAGAGCCTCGTGCAGTTCCCTCCACCAAGACTTGCCGGAAGACATACCATGTCACAAAAAGGAACGAAATGCGCGAGCACAGGCGCTAAAGTTTTTTTAAGGCGTCCTGACGGGCAACCGCCCTGGTGCGCACCAGCCCGTGGAGTAATAAACCCCGTCGTGAACGTGCATCCTACACAGGTTGCAACGCTCTGTTTGCGCAAACTGAGTACGCTGCGCTTCACCGTGGGAGTGCTCAGCGTGGCGGTAGACGAACGGGTGAAGTTGCACAAATCCAGGGGCGCAGCCCCGACTACCAGCCCTGCGGATATCGTCAATCGACTTTCTTACAGTCCTCCTTTCGGCAGACACGTGCATGGCCCCATGCACTGGATTCCATGCATCTTACAGGCCTGCGGATCCCTCCGAAAGCTACATATGGGCCCTGTTCGAGCTTCGACTGGGTTAGCAGTATTGTTTGTAAAGTGGCTGCCCCCAGGGCTTTGTATCTGCAATCCTCACCTCCGCGGCCATCTCCGACCGATTACTCGCGCTGAACCGCTTCCCCGCGCCACATCACCAGACAACAGAAGCATGCCGCATGCGCTCTAGAGATTTTTGTACTCGTTGTGATCTTTAGGGCCGGGCCCACACCCGACCCCCTTTGAGCCTGTACCCACCATGTCGACGGGTGCGGATTGGATCTCGCAACATGATCTCCTCCGGAGCGACTATGCCATGCTCGGCACCACCTCGACTGTTTTTGCAATACGTGTTGTGGTCCAGATATGGCGACGGAGGCCGATTGAAGCGCAAGATGTCTTGCTTGGAATTGCTTTCCTGGCCTATCTCGCCTTCACCATTCTCTACATAGTGATCACGCCCACCTTCTTCAAGCTTCAAGCGCTGGCAGCAGGCCAGATTGTGCCATGGCCAACTATGGCGGCAGATCTCAGGTTTGCATCTGAAGTCATGTGGCAAAGTGGTATGGAGTATTGGACATGTCTCTGGTTTGTCAAGTTTTCACTGTTGGCGCTCTATAAGAAGCTGCTCGCCGGGATGCCCAGGACATACCTATGGGTCTGGTGGGGAATAGTGGCGTTTTGTATCGTGGTGAGTAGGACTCCAATGCGAAAGACTCTAGTGTGAGCATGTCTGACATTGGTTCAGACTTGGGCAACCTGTATCATTACAGGACCAGGCCTGGCATGTAACGACACAAAGGCGTTCTTTGAAGAAGGTAAACAGTGCTTGTCGCTTGGGGAGACGCGGCGTCAGACAGCAAACCTCTACTACGCATATGCGGTCGACACACTGACCAATCTTATGGGTATGTCGTCGAGTTTCCCAACTTCCGTTCTGGTCGAGTGTGCACACTGACACATCTCAAAGTCATGTTCCTGCCGATAAGACTCATCTGGAATCTCCAGATGGAGAAAGCGAAGAAGATTGGATGTGGACTACTCTTCGCTTCTGGTTTTGTTTGTATACTGTTTTCGACTATTCGCATCGTCCAGGTTGGCCAGGATGGGAAGCCGAAGTCACCAGATCCGAAATGGCTTACACTATGGACGATTGTGGAGTGCTCAACAGGTGAGAGCTGCTTCTTGCCTTGTCTAAAATCATACTGATGCTTCGCCAGCTGTGATGATTGGCTGCTGCCCAATGCTTGCGTCTGTCGTGCCAAAGAGCTGGTCCCGTCCTTCGGGCCGGGCTTCGTTCAACGGAGAAGGCTACGGCGAGCAGTCTCCCAACGGATCAGACGAGACTGGGTCGAAAAGTCGACGTCTTCGTGATATGCACAGCTCCAAGAGTCGGAAAAAGCGCAGTGAAAAGTCTTCGCAACAAGTCAGCGTAGCCACTCAAGATGAGCTCCCGGAACGTCGAACCGGTGGCACTGGTATCAGGATCACAGATGAGATGCGTGAACAGCACAGGCGACGAATGGAAGAGAACCAGTGCATGGAGGAAGGGCGCTCAAAAGGCCAGCCACAGGATGTGTGAGTAGGTTTGTAGCTGGCGGTAATTAATTTCAAAAATAAAAATGATTTTGCAAGCCACTGCATGTGAATGTATGAGTGGATACAATGTTCAAGGATAGTAATACCGACGTTATCATCCAACCCCTGGGACCGATTGCAAGGGCTGACATGAGGTCGGACTTCGGGATGCTGGCTACCAGCGCGATATATGCCTATGTGGTACATGCACGTGAAGTTGGTACCTGATGTGTACAGTAGTGTTAAGTGTTTCTGGAGTATATGTGCATACTACATAGATATGAAATCATCAAGTGGCGAGTGTAGTAGTATGTGTAAGCAGCTTTGACAGCAACGAAGATTCTGGGGTGACTGACGCGCTGCACAATAGCCAGACGCTAGTAGCCAGGCGGCAAATGCCGAGCTCGACTGCGCAGAACTTGACCGCAAACGCTCCCAAACATTTACTCTCATCCCCACACCACCAAGCCCCTAGCCTGCACTTCACGCGCAATTCCCCTTGACGACTGACGACACTTTTGTAACGACCATCTCACAAGCCCCAGCGCGAGCTATCGGCGAAGAAAGTCGCGTCGTTTCATTCGTCGCACCCTCTGTTTTCCGCCGCCGCGCAACGTCAAATCTACGCGACAGCCACCTTTCCATCACCACCCGCGTCTTCCACCATGGCCGCCGACTTCGCGACCGACTCGCCGCTGGCGATGCAACTGCAGCAGGTTGTCCAGCCCAAGCTCGCCGAGTTTGGATGGACAACGGGCGGCGACGACACGACGCTCTTTGAGTACATTCTGCTGATGCTGGCCAACGATAAGAACGAAGCGCAGGTCGCCGCCGAACTATCGAATGACTTGCTAGATCTGGGCCCGGAGAACACAGAGACACAGCAGTTTGCGCAGTGGTTATTCGAACAAATCGATTATCTCCGACAGTCAAGCGGTGGCAATGGACAGGTTGCGCAGTCGATCGAGAGCCAAATGGACAGCACATCCAACGACCACGTAGCTGCTGGCCAAGATACAGATATGGAAGGCGTGTCAGAGGGACAGGGCACAATGTACGTACACACGTCACCACCAGCTATTGATGCAACTAACATTTATCAGTCCCACAGGCCCTAAGGCAATGCGCAACGGCAGCGGAGCCCAGGCAGGACGCACAGCACGCGGTGGCCGTATGCTCAACCAGCTTAATAAAAATATGGATCGCAACAACGATTCAGCCCTGCATCGCGTGCGTGGCGCCGGTGGTGGTGTTGGTCGAGTAAACGCACATGCCCGCGATCCGCCAAAGGGGCCACGAGGTCAGAACATTGGTCGTGGTCTCGAAGCGATGGCAAACGGTCGTGGTATGGGCAATGCCAACGTCAACATGGGCCAGAACAACATGAACGGTATGCCCATGGGCGGAATGCCGGGTATGCCCATGAACCCAATGGGCGGTCAGAACAACATGAACGGCATCGGATTGAACCCGCAACAGCAGATGGCCCTCATGCAAATGTACGAACAGCAGGCGCAGATGATGCAGCAGATCTTCTCAGGTGGCGCTCCGACAGCTTTTGTAAACCCCAATTTCAACCAGAACAACCGCAATGGATCCAAGAAGCCGTTACATCAGCGCATGGACCGGGGCGGCAGGGGCATGAACCCGAACGCCAAGCCTTTCAAGAAAGAAGGTGAGGATGAGACCATGGCGGATGGCCCCTCCGGAGAGAATGGCAGCGGCATGGACGTTGAATTGCCCTCCGGGCGCCCAGAACCATCATCAACCATGTGTAAATTCAACCTGCGGTGCACAAACCCCGACTGTCCGTTTGTCCACCAGTCTCCCGCTGCCATGCCGGGCATTACCGTCGACATGAACGATACTTGCGACTACGGGGCGGCTTGCAAGAACAAGAAGTGTGTTGGCAAGCACCCTTCGCCCGCACAAAGACAAAAGTACCAGTCGGAGCAGGAGTGCGCTTTCTGGCCCAACTGCCGCGATCCCTCATCGTGCCCATATAAGCACCCAACGGCGAAACCGTGTCACAACGGTGCCGACTGCACAGTCGAGGGCTGCAAGTACGGCCACAGTTCGATTATGTGTAAGTTTAACCCTTGCCTGAACCCCCGTTGTTTGTACAAGCATGAGCCGGGTCAAAAGAAGAACACAACAAATGTGTGGGTGGCGCCCAAGGAAGGCGAGCACGTGAGCGAGAGGAAGTTTGTGGATGATGAGCAAAAGGAGGAGCTCATCCTGCCCAACAAGGATCAGGACATGAACCAGGGACACGCACAAACAAGTGAGGGCGTGAATGTACAGTCATAGAATGGCATGAAGATGAGCAAAAAGAGTTGAGTTGTGGTGGGACATGATACCATAGGAAGCAGGTAGCTGTTTGGGGAGAGATATGTACAATAAGCCTCATTTGTAAATGGCTGAAAGAGGCATTACGGTTGGCGGCGCTGCCGTGAATTTGGGGGAGGAAAGGCCTTTGTTTTTGCCCCAAAAATGGAAGCTTGTTCTCTGCGGCTATGAATGGCTGCAATCTTCTTGTTACTTTCTCGCCTGACTTTTATCTACTGCATCTCACCGTGCTTTCGTGAGTATCTGGTTCTTTCGCCCACCATTTAACCCCGAAAAACCACCGGCTGGGGATAATTGTTGTTCTTGAAAATCAATGACGGCACAGCAAAGAAGGCGGGCCAAAGCTTTCCGTCATTTTTGGCGAAAACCCGCGCCAAAAGTGTCCCCCCCCCCCCGACCCCGGGCGGCGGCGGCGGGGGAACTTGCGCAAAGAAAAGGGAATCTCATGTGTTAACACGTAAAACATTTCAACATATGGCTTACAACGCTCCGGTCGCCTGAAAAATACCGCCTTCCCCCCTTCTCTTCCTCTGCGGACCCCCAATTGGACCGAGAGCAATGGGGTTCCAGAATGTGTCGCTGAAGACGCTGAAGACTGTTGCTGCACGTCCTGTGCTCGCATCGCCATTATCATCCACACTACTACTACAATCATCCCACGTCCACCACCCGCGCACCCGCCCGCTACTTGCTTCGTCCACCCTGCTTTTGTCCCCCGGACAATGCCGATACCAATCTTCATATCCTGAGCGCATTGCCGTGCTGGGCGGTGGCATTGGCGGGCTCTGCAGCGCGTACTTTGTCTCGAGGGAGTTTCCGCACAGCAAGGTTACGCTGTTTGAGGCGGGGAAAGAGACGGGTGGGTGGATTCAGAGTCGGCGGGTGCAAGTGCAGGACCAGGATGGAAAGGATGGGAGTGTGCTTTTTGAATTGGGGCCTAGGGCGCTGAGGAATGCGATTGTTACGGCGGGTTTGGTGCGTTTGTGTGTTTTTTTTTCGTGTCTTTTGGGACAAAGAGAGGATCGCGCTCTGTCTCAAATTCCTCTGTCTCAATTCCAGTTTGTTCATGTGCTGACTTGGTGTTCTTTTGTGTTGTAGGTTCAGGATCTCGGTCTCGTCAACGATGTTACGTATACAAAGAAAAGCGAGCCTGGAGCGAAGAATCGGTTTATATATTATCCTGATCAGCTGAATCGGCTTCCTTCCGAACGACCCTCGCTTGCCGACTTTTTTGCGCTGTGGCGGACGGGCATACTGAGTGGTGCGATGGGTATGGTTACTGAGCCGATGAGGCCAAAGAGACCGGATTCCATGACGGATGAGACTGTGGGATCGTTCCTTGCTCGAAGGGTGGATAAGAGGATAGCGGATAATCTTGTCTCAGCTGTGTTCCATGGCATATACGCGGGCGATATCTGGCAACTCAGTGCAAAGTCGCTGCTTAGTCTGGCCTGGGAGTTGGAAGGGCGATATGGAAATGCGCTGGGAGGTTTCTTCCGCATGCAGAACGAGGACCCGCGGCCGGAACAGCTCACACTTGTTCACCCTCTGGATCTGGAAAACACACGAGCAATGAACGAAGAGATTGATCTGGAACTCGACTTTGCGAGAAACCTACAGGAGACGAGCATGTTCACGTTAAGGAACGGTCTGCAGCAGTTGATCCGGGCATTACAGGACGCAGTAGAAGCAAGGGGAAACGTCGAAATCAAGACCGAATCGCCTGTGCAATCATTCAAGCCACTCTCCAAAGACGGCCAACTAGGCATAGAAATCGTTTCTGGTGTACGTTCTATTCCCCTTGTTATCAAACCCCCCATTCAAACCACTAACACTACAAACAGCCCGAAGGCTCAACAACAACCTCAACCTTCGACACCGCCATCTCAACTCTCAGCAACCACGACCTCACCCCCTCCATCACCGTCATGACCATCAACCTCTTCTTCCCGTCCCCCTCCCTCCTCCCCGTCGAAGGCTTCGGCTACCTAATCCCCCAATCCGTGCCCTTTACTCAAAACCCGGAGCGCGCCCTCGGCGTAATCTTCGACTCCTCCGCCATCAAGGGTCAAGACACCGCTTCCGGCACCAAACTCACCGTCATGCTCGGCGGCCACTGGTGGGACGGCTGGTCCGACTACCCTTCTGAACAAGAAGGCCTAGACATGGCTCGTAGCGTCATCAAACGCCATCTAGGCATCACAGCCGAGCCAACGGCTCATATTGTTAATCTCGCCCGCAACTGTATTCCGCAGTACACGCTTGGATATAGCGACCGCATGAAGGATTTCGCGCACGGTATCTCGACCGAGTTTAAGGGTAGGCTGAGGGTTGTGGGAAGTCAGTTTGGGGGTGTGGGTGTTAATGATGTTATTGCCAATGCGTGGAAGATGGCGAGGGGCATGAGAGGCGAGGGGTGGAAGAGTAGTAGTTGTGGCCTTGATCGCGTGGTGGATGAGAGGGAGTGGGTCGTTGTGCCGTCGAGTGAGATGGTGTATGTGAAGAAGGAGGGGGGGGTTAGGGTGGGCGGCAATGGCATGGGGAGTCGTGGGGAGGGCGGTGTTTAAGGAGGCGAATTTGGCAAGGGTTTTTTGTGTGTGTGTGTGTGTGTGTGTGTATATAGTCTGGTCTGATGTCATCTGGGCAGTGAAGAAAAGAATAGTGAGCTTTTGAGGGCAATAGATTATTTTCTGTTTTCTATAGAATCTTGTACCTTTTTTTTTTCTGTAGCATTGAAATAGGCTAGACAATCATGTCGTGACTATTGCTTCAATGAGTTTGCATCAGTTTCACGCCTAGCATACCAGCTTACTGTTGCTCAGAAAGAAGATGGGATGTTGCAACCTGACCTGCCGATATCGGATAAATCATGGTGGTTATCGTTGTAACCATGACCACGTGAGTGGTACTACGTAGCACATGGTTGAATATCGGTGTGAGATGCACAAACTCAATCTACCAGGCAATTCAACACGGCTCTGCCTTGCCCCTTTTTTCCTTTTATCCGTTTGTTTCTGTGCTCTCCCTTTTTTTCTCCAAAGTTGCCCTGCTATTCAGTGTGTGACACTTGGAGGTGACAAAGACGTGGGGAACACGGGATGTGGCTTATAGTTGTTTAGTGTCTCTTCACGAAAAAAAAGGAAGAAGAAATAGAGACAAAAGATAAGGGGGACACTGGTTAGTCACACTCCTGACCGCCTTACCTCCCCCGTTAATCTTTCCCAACGGGCGAGAAGAAGGAAAAAAACCAACGGTTAATCATATGCTGCACAAAATATCCCAAGCATACGCGGCAAATGTTTATCCAGTGTCGGGGGAAAGGGGGGTTACAGTGATGTGCGGAAACTGCAAAAAACAAACTATTGGGCCATGGGATTGATGGGCGGGAAGAAAAAAAAGCCAAGACCAGAATACAAGAGCCGGATGTCACCCGTCGAAGGTGTTGTGCAGCGGAAAAGTGCAGATCTCGCGCCTAAAGCAGGAGGGGGAGTCCATGACAAAGGATCGTTGCCAAGACGAGTAGATCAGCTTGGCAGGCTGTTTCCGCACAAGCTGTACGCTGGTCGGGACTGAGAGAGGCCCCGAAAAGGCAATTGGGAGTGTGACGGGGGAGGGAGGCTAGTAGCTTGAGTTTGTTGGCATCGGAGTCTTGTTGGTGACAAGCCCGGGTTCCGCAATGTCGAAGAAGTAGGGCGCCTTGGCGGGTTGTGTCGAGTGGTTGATGTGTGTGTGTGCGTACGTATGGTGTAATGGGAGTAACATCTTGGCTCAAGTGCTTTGGTGTGTTGAGCTGTTTAGGGTTTCTTAGGTTACATTGCTGCAGAGGTGACATAGGGCGCGAGAGATTGAGACATCACTATGACGGTGGATGTCAATCATCTCATCTCGGACGGGTTTCGAGAAGGTGGTGATGAAGCCAAGAGGGATGTGGCCTGCCTGGAGAAGTTGATGAGAATTACAAAACCGGTGAGTCATGATTGAGCTTCGGTATATACACACACACAGGATATCCATGTCGTCGAGATTAGCGAAAGAAGCAAAGATGGCTGACTGTTGAGTGCCAAGCGCGGAAACCGAATTCCTCCAACGTGCCAAGAGGGTTACAGTAAAAGCAATTAACGTTTACATTGGTGGAAACTGCCAAGGCGAGAGAGATGCAGACAGGTGCAAATCGGTGGGAAGAGTGGGTTTAGGCGAATGACTGAAGCTTGTACCACGTGCGGTGTTTTGTTAGATTGTTACTCTATCGGGATCGGTGTGGGTGAGTTGTAGTAGGTCTGTGCTTAGGTACAGGGCGCAAACGGGTTAGGAGTCCAGTGAGTTGTTCCCGATGTTGGCAGCGTGCGCGGAGGCGAAGGAATTGGTGTCATGATTTCCCGTCGATCTCGCCAAACCCCATGGGCTGAGAATCCGGGGCTCGTAGGCGAGGCAAATGCAAAGGCTGCGGTCAGAAGAAGCAGCAGGGCACTACTGCAGGTGCAGCGTGTATGTGTGTGCGCGCGGGCGGGTGGGGAGGCGAGGGATGAGGAAACCAGTCGGTTGACTACAAGTCTGTGTGAAACTCACCGCTCTGAGGGCGGGATACCCAATGGACGAGTAGTGTGCGAAGCGGAGAGGGAGAGTAGGTAAGAGTGAGGCGCGACATGTCGGATGGGTTCGTGGACGCGTGGGGGGCAGAGGCGGGGGGCGGTGTTGACACGAATGCTTTTGAAAGCAAAAGCCGATGCAGTGCATATGCTTGTCATCGGGAGCCGTGTCAGGACTGCAGGCGGACGCGGGCTGCAGGAGACGACGCCGACCCCGCTATTCTGAGGGCGCGGACAATCAAGCAGCGTGAGCGTGCGTGCGCAGAAGGCTGGGGGGAAGCACTATGGAGCGTGTGCCGATGACGACAGTAGTGTGGCCAGCGTGGTCATCAGAGCGAGCAGTTGACCAAGACGGTGGGGGAATGGGCTTATTGTCCTTTGCATTTGTGGTGGCTGCTTGGCCCGTTGTCGGATGAGGAGGTCAAGGGCCGTGCAAGCTTTTGGTCAAGACAGACGACAAAGCCGTCGACAGCATGCTGTGAATGCCGCAGCCACGCCTCCGTGTCCATGTGTGCTTGGCTGTACATGGACGCATGTATATATGTATAGTACATCCATCCATGCGCCCACACATGGGCGGAGAGACGGGTTCGCGAGAGCAGCGAATGGCGGTTGGGCGGAAGCAGGGGGCCTGAGCATAGGGCCTGAGCACCGGCCCTTAGCCCGCCAGGCCAATACATGAGTGCGTAAGTAGACTACTACCCTCGAGGCGACCATGTCCGCACTGCCTCGCTACCTACCTATGTCCGCATGTACCTACTATCTACATGGCACCGTGATGCCAAAGCAGGCTGCTGACGCCCGCCACGGCCTAGCCCAGCCCCGGCCGACGTCCAGAGTGCCATGTCGTGCGGCATTTTTGCAGTAACCGCGTCCCGCCCTGCCAGTCAGCGACACAGTCCTGCCAGATAGCCATCCCTACTGGCCATGCCGACAGCGAGCCCCGTCAGTCATGAGTCTGTCTCGTGGCACGCATGGATGACGATGCCACAGCTGACCCAGAACCGCCGGCGACCAGAGGGCCCGCTGTGAGGGTGCTGAGGAAGGGCGCCAGCTGGGGGTGTCGCAAGACGTGCATGCGGCGTGCAGCTGGGGGGTGGGGGTTTGGCGGCGGCGGAGGAGGCGGCGGGGCGGGCGTCGGTGGGTTGGATGATGGGTGGATGGATGGATTGGGTGGATGGGTGGGTAGGTAGATGGATGGATGGAGCAATGGAGCCAGCGAGGGATGGGATGGATGCATTGCGCCAGAGAGTTTAGCAGGCCGGCCTAGCCCCAGTGTGCTACCCGCCTAGCATGGCCTAGTGAGTAGTCGGCTTCTACTTACTCAAGTCTGTCCTGTCCTGTCCTGTCCTGCCCTGTCGTGCTGTGGGGGGGAAAAGAGCAGCCAAGCGCGACGAGGGTCGAGGGTCGAGGGTCCTGCAGTGCGCACATATCAAAGCCCCAATCCCTGGCTGCCCTTGCTCCCTCTGCATCTCTAGGGGCCATCACCGCCTGCGCCATCTGGGGGAAATTATCGTCGTATTCCCCAACCTCGACTTTCTTCTCCCTCTCCCTCTTCCTCTTCCTCTTCCTCCCCCGGCCAAACTTGCTGCGGCTACTTTGGTCCCCACCCTGTCCCATCCCCTGCCCGGCGCCCTCGACCGGCCAACACCCACCCGCGCCTTTGCACGCTTGTTCCCTCCTACGTTGTGTGAATGGCTTTGCCACGAGCCCAACACTTTTACCACACTCCGCTCTTGTTGCCCACCCTCTATCTGCACGATTGCAGTTCGCTCGAGGCCTCCTGCTATCACTGCCCCAGTCCCCTCCAGCGAGCCTAACCACAAGCACTAGGCCCTGCAGCCCTCCCCCTTCACACTCTCTTACACCCATTCACGCCCGCTTGCTCGCCAATCGGACCTGCACAAACCCTCTCTCCCCACTCGCCATGCCCGTGCTCGCCGAACAGCCGCGCCAACTATCCATTTCTTTTGACGAGCCAACCCTCTCCGACCGCCTGCGTCATCGCGATTCACGCTCCCAGTCCCACCGTTTTGCCATTGAAGAGGAGGACGAGAGCACAGGCACCGCCAGCGAGCCTGCCGAGCCTCTCACTCCCACCAGCCATAGCAGCGATGGCCCCTCTTTTCACCACCCTTTCCCGGACGATGACTCGGTAGACGATGTCTTTGCTACCCCACGCCCGCTACCCAGCGACACGCCATCAAAGTCTTCTCATGAAGATGCCCTTCCCCCACCAGACACCCACACATCCCACCCGCCCGAGCGTGAGTCGCCCCCCGAGAGGCGTGGACTGGGCAAGCGTGTCGGAAGCCTGCTCCGTGGCAAATTGCACAGAAGCTACGCATCAAAGGACGGCGCCAGTCAATCAGAGACGTCAAATCTCTCCACGCCAAGCAGGTCTCCAAAAACAAAGCCAGACACCGACACTTACATTGTCAAGACCGGCATCGATGGCCCAGCCGAGTTGTCCACCCCGGCCGTCGACATTCCCCGCCAGAGCAAGAGGCTAAGTACTTTTTCTCTAACCAGACGCTCCGATAGGTCCTCTCGTGCAAGCTCTCCGCCCTTGTCTGGCTCAACTAGCAGCAGGCCCTCGACCGACAAAAGACCAGAGCTTGGCAAGAAGCCCATATCTTCTACCGGTCTGGGAAACATGTCCAGGCCCAGGCCTGGCATCACCTGGGCTGGAAGCGGAAGTGTCACGACTACCAAAAAGACTGGTTTCCTGCGGAGGCGGTCGGCCAGCACAGAACAAGTGCCACGAACGGGCGAGAGTACAGAAAAGCCTACTGCTGGTATGCTGGCCACCTTCTCCAAGCCTGCCGCCCAGGGTGTAGGCATGAAAGCACGACGCCTTAGCATTAACCTGCCTGACGATTTCATTATAGATTGGTGTGAATTAGACAAGGAGTTTAAGAGCTCGAGCCTGATGCCGGGGAAAAGAGGAAGGATACTGGGCAAGGGGGCAACGTCTGAAGTTCGAATCATGGCGCGAAGAGGAGGCATTACCAGGGAAGAGGACTTGGTCGCAGTCAAGGAATTTCGAGAAAGGGATAAAGAAGAGACGGAAGAAGACTATGTGCTCAAGATCAAGTCCGAGTATAGCATTGCAAAGAGTCTGCATCACCCCAACATTGTCGAGACCGTTCGCCTATGCACCAACCGCGGCCGCTGGAACCACGTCATGGAGTTTTGCACATATGGGGAAATCTACTCGCTCGTAGAGCGTAAGCTCTTTGCCGGTGGGCCAGAAGGGTACTATAGCCGGGATGACCGGCTGTGCTTCTTCAAGCAACTTCTCCGCGGCGTCGACTACCTGCACAGCCACGGCATCGCCCATCGAGACATCAAGCTGGAAAACCTGCTTCTCAGCAAGGAAGGCCATCTAAAAATCTCGGATTTTGGCGTTGCCGAAGTCTTTAGCGGCGAGCATCCTGGCCTGCGCGCTTCTGGCGGAGAATGCGGCAAAAATATGGGACACATTCGTCTTTCAGCCCCTGGCATCTGCGGCAGTCTGCCGTATATTGCTCCCGAAGTGCTAAAAAAGGACCACAGCTACGACCCCCGACCGCTGGATATATGGTCAACTGCCATTGTCTACTTGACCATGACGTTTGGTGGCTGTCCATGGCAAGCGGCCAAGCCAGAGTTCGAGTACTACGCGCGATTCAAAAAGGGTTGGGACCAGTGGCTGCAAGCCCATCCGGACGGACAGATCTTCGATGGCCCCGACGGCCACCCCAAGTGCGGCAAACTATTCAGTCTAATCGAGCCCCCGTCGATCAAACGTTTGATGCTGAAGATGCTACATCCCATTCCGTCGCAGCGCATCACGATCCGCGATGTGCTCAAGACGACGTGCATCAAGAACATTGGCTGCTGCTGTCCGGAATCCTACGAGGAGCCCAAGATTACCTTTGATGCCTCCAAGGCGTCGAGTGCGAGAACGGCGGCGCCTAAGAAGTATCTGCATCACCACGTCCCTCCCAAGCCTGAGAATAAGGTTGGAAAGGCATTTACCCACCGCTTTGACATGGGCGAACGATGACCATGTCCCCCTGTATATTGCTCACTTTTATACCATAATTATTGCATTGCATTGGCGCGAGCATGGCGGGGTACCATTCGCAGTCTGTTATCTCTGCGCGTTTGATGCGCAGCATTCTTCTTTTCGAGTAGCAGTAGTAGTAGTAGCAGCAGCAGCATGCCGATCGTCTTATCCACAGACGGCAGACAGCATGCACCAAGCAGATAGCGAATGCCACGATGCCAAGCTCCCCTGCAAACTTTGGTTCCCATGGCTCCTGCTCCGATGGCCACGGGTTGCACGTTGCTTATCGTAGCCGTGTGCCGTGAACCAAAGTTGCAATTGGTGGCCCTACAGAAAAGTGCCGATGGACCCAGGATTTGAAGATCAGCGCGCTTGATTCGGCCGCATGGCGCAAGCGTCTAACAGGTAGCCCCTGGTGATCTTCCGCTCAATCGCCGCCGCGGCTCTGACGACGTTACCTTGACACATTGCAAGCATCCGACAACCTCTAGCCCCGTCAATACCTATGGGGCATAAATTTCCGGGGGTGCGCGCTGGGGGGGAGGGAGATTGCATTTTTGTCCGACATGTTGCCGAGCCGCACGAGGGTGCGACACAAGCGTTGGCGCAGGACAATTGATTGTTTGTGTCGTCTCAGCCAGCATGGGAACAGGATTGGGACACATGTGGTGAGAGTTGGACGGGCAGAAAGAAACAGGTGGCGTGACTTGAAAGGGCAGGAGCGTTTAGCAGTCCAAGGAGCGAGGTGTCTGCCCAGCCAACACCAGCCTTGTCAACATGTGCAACTGGCTGCAGTACCAGCTTGGCAATTTTTCGCTAGACGCATCCATCTCCGGTAGCCAGAGTCAAGACGCTGTATCGCTGGGTCCAGGGTGCTCTGGCCCAATCACCAAGCGAGATCTGGATTTGTGCCCGCCCAGCCATGGGTCTGCATTTCATTACAGAGGGTGGAGGATCTCCACCTAAGAAAACGGGGCTACTTGTGGGTTGGCATCGCAGCCCATCTGACGAGCAAAGCGGATGTCTCGTGGTGACAACGTGGGTGCAATGGTAGGCTGCGGCCAGAATGTCGGCATGGCATAGGGCCGCGTATCGCGCCTCGACGCCGTTTTTCTTCCCTTTCCGCAGCGTCTTCGTGGGCATTTGGAAAAGCGGGGCGTGAGGAGGGGCGGAGGAGAATTAGTTCCAGGTCGATCCGTTGACGACGTCACTTGAGAGTAAGTGGCAGGCTTGAGCGAGATGCTGCCCGTGTTCCCCAAGAGGAATATGCGACCAAGCGACACGGTACCTATCGTACACCATGCAAATGTAGTACACACTCGTGCATTATCAACACCACCCAGTCAGCACAGTCAACAAATCGGAAATGTTAATCCAGCAAAGCCGAAGACACCCTGCATATCACCTTGTTAGCGCTTTTGACGCTTATCAACGTCAGCGGGGTACCTAGCAAAAAGTAATCTGGCAAGCCTTACAGGCCACTTTTTTTTCCTACTCATGTGTTCTGTTCCACCGCCCAATGCAAACCCCAATGCACACCCTTTCGTCACATCACGCGACTTGTCCGGCCTGCAGGTCGAGCAACATGCGGAAAACACGAGGAAAATAGCGGTCAAAACACGCCGCTGCCCGACTTTCTGATTCCCGCCTCCCGCACTCGCCTCGAGGCGCACCATGGGGTCCATTGCGCAATCCTATCATTCTTCTGTTCTTCTCTTTCCTCATGCGTCGCGTGCCCTCCATTTTTGTTGCCAACTAGAGCACACCACGGAAAGAAGGATGCCGGGAAGAGCCGTACCAGTCATGTCCACGTAAATGGTTCGTGTTTTCCCTTAGCATGGAACAATAGTACAACGGCACTTGAATACGGTAAAGACAGAAACTGCAGAGCTTGTCAGCTTAAACGAAGATACCAATGTCCTTTTTTTTTGCACAAAATTGCCTCACCAAATTCGTAAACCATTTCAAGCTGTCATTATTACCCGCAAACATAGTAAAGCCACAAAAAGCAACGCAACCAAAGAAGCAAGGAAGCAAAAAAAGAGACAAATGTACGGTAACAACGTTGCAAACCTTATTTCCTGGCAGCTGGACCCCCCCGCGGCGCGGCCCTCAAACGGGGCACATCGTCTTCCCCACATGCCACGATCCTGTAGTTATCCCATACTCATCTGCCCGCTTTCTTTGCTTTTTTCCCTCACATATTACACGCACACACGGGCAAAAACGCAGCGCACGCTCCCCCATCCCTAATCCTCAAAGCAACGCATCCCTCAGTAAATCCCGCACAATACACGTGTCCTCCAACCCCGACCGACGATCCAGCAAATGCATCGTCAATCACACAACACGCTCACCTCCCCTTCCCTCAAAGCATAATGCCCATCACATACGCATACAAGGGGTAACCAAATCCCTATCCACCACCACTGCCGCCGATCAAACACGCCGCTCTTTCCCCCCTTTCCCCTCTCTCTACATACGTAGTAGTAGTAGTATACTATAGGTCAACAAAATCTCATCCACGCATGCATACGCTGTGCCCCCCCCTGCATTCGCATATGTACCACTCACACACCGGTCCAACCCAAAGTCAAGTCCCGCATAGTTAGTCTAAGAGAGAAAATCAAGATTCCGCCCAGACAGCGCTTATCGCGATCAAGCCCTTGCGACTAAAAAGGCTTGTTACACTACATACACTACTCTGTCTCTCTTTTTTCGCGCCCGGGGGGAAAGGGTTGGTGCGTACGCACGCGGAAGTTTGACATGTGCCCACGGGCTAGTGTGAGGATTGGCGGGTAAGTGGGGGGTGAGAGTAGTATGCATGTGCATGTGCATATGGCTCCGAGGGGGGGGGCGTTTTTTAGAAGTCGGCGAGGGAGTGTATGTCCGGTGAGAGAAGTGGTATGGGAGAGTGTATACGCGGGGACGGAGATGTAGAGTGGATTGAAGGGAGAGTGGGAGTGAGGGTTTTTTTTGTTTCACCGGAATAACGGCGTGTGTAGAGTGTCAAGTATGGGGGTTTTTTCTTTCCTTGCGCGTTGGGCGCGATGGAACGGTCGGTGAACTTACTACTAGCATTTCTTTCTTTGCTTTTTTTCGCAATCAGTTTTCTAGTAGCTCAGCGGGCTGGGGGGTTTTTTTTTTGCGTTTTTGCGTAGTAGGGCGTTTTGTTGTGTGCTTTGCTGATCTGATTGGGGTTTGCGTACGTGCGTGCGCCACGCGCGAGGATGGGATGGGCCTACGGCCGCGTTGTACAAAGCGGTTTGATAGTTCCCTCCGTAGGTTTGATTATTATGACTACATTTTCACCGATCAGCACGCTCCGGGCGTTTTTGGAAACAAAGAGGTATTTCCTGGTTTTCGAGTCTGGGAAGGACCGATGCGAGCGAAGCGTGGCTTGAATTTGGGGCCGTGGGGGTGCGTATGTGTGTGTGTGTGGACGGGAAGCTGGCGTTTTCGGCCTCGGAGGTAAAGAATGGTGTGTAGTGGTTTCTTCGGAAGGAGTTGTCGTGTTTGGATTGGTTTGGACCGGAGAACTATGGAAGCGATATGTCATCGGGTTGATTGCTGGCTAGGGGATTTTTTTTACGGCTTTCCAGAATGGTTAGGGACTAAAGGAATCTGTTTTTATCGATCGGCTAGGCTGATGTTGCCAATCTCCACATAATTCCCCCCCGCACTGCAGCTAGTTGAGCTGGGGTATTTGGTGGCACTAAGGATTCTTTGTGTAAAAGATCGTCGTTGGGGATTGTCTAACTTGGAAGGGATTCTTTTTGCCTTTTTCAAGGATGCATGGTTAATAGAGTAGGACGGTCGGCTTTGATATCGGTCTTTTTTATCTGTAAGCTTAGCAGCATGACTCTCGTCCGTATACGATAAATCCCTCAGATATCAAGTCATACTTTATGTGAATGATCAAAGTGTACTTGAACTGGTACTTCTCTCGTACCGCAAGATACAATATCAAACAGTTTTGGTATAACAGAGTGTGCATCTCATATACCTTCTCACCCACTTCTCCTTATGGGTCTATGCCTTCTAGTACTACCAGGCTTTATGCACTATAGAACAGTTCCTGGCGACATTGATAATTATGATGGAATGATATAAGTGTATTAGGGAAGTAAAGTTGATGATATGAGCATAATGGAAGGGGAGCGAGAAATGTGTGATGGTGGTGCTTTGATGAGATGAATCAAATGTATGATGTTAACAGCTCTGTGTGACAGTCTGTGATTCCGACGCAGTGTCTCAGTCTCGATAGACAATGTCGAATGAAGAGCTTGCGGACTATTCAGAGCTCCCGGCTTGCGGAAACTTGCTTGCACCCATCTGTCCGAAATCCCTATAGCGTTACCCCATCCAAATTTATTCACAGTCTACATACCGCTATATGTAACCCGCGCCTCAGAGCAATCTTTAACATACGCACTTTAACATTATCTAATTCTGTCAAGCTTTTTGTGCTATTCAAATCGTGAAGTCACCAGTCAGAATCTCAATTCAGCGTATCCTCCCCCAAAAATTCCAAATTGACTCCTACCCTGTTAAGCATGAGTCTTCTCAAAAGTATAAGATGAGATTCATGTTCTGCAGTTGCAACCTTTTGGAACTGTCCAGACCGCAATACTATAAGTTTCATTCCAATTTTAGCAAATTCAGTCGGCGTCACTGATCATCTGACTATGGTGGTACATCGTTTGAGTCTTGCTGAACGGAGATGAGTTATATATATCTCACGGTAGAGTTGATACAGATATACTCTCTTGTTGGCATTTTCGTTATTGTGAGTAATGAATTTGCTGTTCAAGGAACGCTGGGATAGCTTATCTCCAGTGTGCGCATGTCGGATATCAAAAGCGACTTTGAAGTTTGGAAAAAGGTGATAGGTCCTAGGTACAACATAATAAGCATTATGTTTTACATATTAGATTCAGTTATTTTAACGAGAAATCACCATATAAAATCACTTTCAACGATGCCGAGGAACAGAAGTCCTCTTGGGTGATTCATTATCAGTCAAGTGTTGCTGTAACAATTTTCGGATTAGATGTGAAGGAATATTCAATTTATCGAATCGGTACGGTATGTAGCAAGTAAGAATACAATATTTCTAGTAAACAACAACATCGTCTATGCAACTATATACGGCAGAATCTCCTCTGCAACTCCCCCTATCTTCCTCATCTCTCCCACTCCAACTTCTCCATTTCCCTCTCACAAAAAACTACACAACACAAACTTTGCCTACCACATCTCCCAAACACCAGAAGGAAGCACAGTCCTCATAATCTTCCAATGACTAACCGCGCCATCCTTGTGAAACTTCTCCAACTCGCCCACATCGGCATTTCCCATAACCCTACCCCCATCCTCCTTGGGCACATACTCATACTTGACCTCGAGATTCTCCTGCGGCTGCAAAAAGTTGCGACGCGCAATGCTACCCAGGTAATCAGCAGGCTTCGCGTTGCGGAAACGAATTCCTTGTTTTCCAAGACCATGGTCGTTCTTGACGCAGAAGATGACCATGTTGATGAAATCGGCGTCGCCATCCTGGCGCTCCTCGGAGGCGGGAGAATCGCGGAAGATGCGGCAGGCGGGGAAGATGGCGTGGATGGTATTGAGGACCAGGCGTGTGCTTCCGAGAGTAAGGTCACCAGCATAGTTGATGGCTGCGAAGCCGTCGTCCTTGAGGAGGTTGTACAGCCCCTGCATGAACTCGGTGGTGAAGAGGTAAACGGGTTCTGCACCGCCGGTGAAGACGTCGTGGATGATGTAGTCGTAGCTTCCGGGGGCAGAGACAGACTTCTCGGCCACGTAGGAGGTAGCATCGGCAATGACGGCGTTGTGTTTGGGGCTGAGGTTGAAGTACTTGGTTGCGTAGTAATGGACCACGGGGTCGAGTTCGACAATGGTTGTGTTGAGACCGTGAGCAATCAGGGCGTTGGGCGCAGTGCCGATTCCGAGACCAATGACAAGGGCAGATTTCTCGCTCTCGTCCACGGCTGGGATAGATGCGACAGGGGGTTCGATAAGTCGGACAGCTTCGAGCAAAACGAAGACGGCGAAGATGGACTCGCGCTGTCGCTGGCCTTTGGCATACGCTTCTGGGGTGACGAGCCATTCACCACCTAGAAGGGAGTGGTCGCATCGAAGGAGACGGAAGGCGCTTTCAGATTGGCTTTCGACCACTGAAACGTAGCCGGTAACTGATTCCTGTCGAGCAAGAAGGGTGTAGTTTTGGGTTGCTTGTAGAGTCGAGTTTGCGAGTTGGAGTCCATGAGTTGACGGATGGTGCGGGTTGGTCCAAAGCGTATGCAAGATAGCAGGGAACGCGAGCAGAATGACGCGTGAGGGGCTGAAGAAGGCAGACGCGGATGCGAGCAGCATTTGGAAGCCAATGCGAGTGAAGTAGACCGATGTGCCGATGAAGCTTGGGATGAGTGCGCTGCTGATCTTGGCTGTGGTGGAAACAGCAAAGTACGAAGCAGTAGGAATAACAATCTCCTTCAACGGAGAGGGATTCAAGCCGCTGATATCGATGCATTCCAGTAGATCGGCAGCAGCGAAAATTGACAAGAAAAGCAACGGAAAGTATGTCAATAACTCAATGGCCATGGGACCATACTCAATTCCCATCTTTTCACTGTATGGGAAGAGTAGAAACTGTATGACGGGG